GTATTTTTCTGAGCTGGTACACGATTGCAGTGGCATTGAGCAGGTAAATCTTCCCTGTGTGTATGCGTGTGTGTGTGTATGTCTGTGTGTGTGTTGCAAAATATGGGATTGACTTCTATCAAGGAACATGGAATAAATGCATTGCGGAGCATTTTCTATTTCTTTTTCTTACAAAGAAGGCCTTGCTTTTTAAAAACCTAGATCTACACTTTCGTACAAGCACGGTTCATACAATATGCCAAACCCCAAACAGGCCAACAAACCAAGAAAGTTCAGTTCACATAAAATGAAATGCTAATGGAATTACCCTGGCTTAGGATGTTCCCCTTCCCTTTCTTCAGGGCTTGTTTCTTAAGAGCCAAGTCACACTATTACTACGCAGGCGGGTTCACAAGATCCCCTAAGCCTAAACAAATCAACCTAGTTCACATAAAACAGGCCTTGAGAGAACATAGCTTAAGATGATGTCCTGGTTCACTCACCCTCCTGTTCAACTGCAGAGGATATTTTAGTCTCATGCAGCACATGGCGAGAATGCAGGCACAATCTTTTGTATCTCCTTCCTTGGAAACCTTTTCTTATATCCCGCTAGAGTTTGCAATGCAAATTCTCCCCCTCCCCCTTCTCAGGGGCTTTTTCCAGGAAATGGTGTGGGAAAGGCTTCCCCACATCCCCACCTTCTTCCTGGGGATCCTGGATTTGCAACACAGCTCTGCTTTCAATAGACCTTCCTGCAATCTTTTTAGTTCCTGTGAAGCTGAAAGGGTTAAAGAGAGAGAGAGTGCAGCATCCTAGAGAGGCAACACCTACATAATGTCACTTCCTTCTCCCTCCTCTGGAGAGTCACCTGTGGCATTCTCCCTCCAGTGGCCCAATGCTGAAGTGCATGGTGTTTCCTTCTGTTTGCAGAGGGAGCCCCCTGCTGGATCCTCTGTGCAACGTAGGTGCTAATCCAAAGAGGGGAGAAAGGGTGCAAATCCATGGGATTGGGCCAGGAGTAAGGAGGCTGTTGTGTCCCCCTGATCAGGAAGTCTTCTGAATCCAACTGGTCTTGACAACAGTAGACCTATCGCCAACCTTCCATTTTTAAGAAACCTTCTGGAGAAAGTCGCATCCCTGAGTAGGGGGAGGAGAGGGAGCCAAGGAACAGAGTGGGAATGGAATTCAGCT